TCTGCTCAGTCTGTCCTATCTCCTTTTCAATCCCGAGTTCCATTTGCGTGGACCTGGTGAGGCTGAGCGTGGCTGTTGCAGAGGAGTGATAGCTTCCCTTTCCTACAGGAGCTGAAGGTTCAAAGAGGAGATTAAAGAAGTGTGTGTTATCTGTCAGCACAGGCCCGATAGGGAACTCTCAGAGGCTTTTGGACTAGACGTAGCTCTGTGTGTGAGCGCTGTAACTCTGTGTGTGCATTCATAATGTGTTTCCTTCTGTATATTTCTTTTGCAGTTTTTGTATCTTGGCTTTAAACATTTAGCTCCTGATTTGCTGAGCTGTCTGGTTTAAAGAGGATTGTCTTTAGAGCAAAGGATAAGAATTGGAAGGGGTTTAACTAAAAACTTCCTGAAGAGCACAGAACTCTCCAGCCACAGGATTTGTGTAACCAGACAAGATGAAGACCTCAAATATGTCCAGCAGAGAATAAGCTGGGGCCCCTTCTTAAGGGTTGACATCGCTGATATTTATTATAGTTATTGCTGATACTTTATAGTTTCCTTTTAGAAGCATCCTCTAGGGCTGGAGATAGAGTTCAGTTGGTGGAGTGCCTCTCTAGCACGATCAAGGCCCTGGGTTTGCCTCCCTAGTGCAGCATAAAACTGGCAATAGTAGGATAGTAGTACACACCTGTAATCCCCACACTCGGGCAACGGAGGCAGGGGGATCAGTAACCGAAGGTCATCTTTGGCTACACAGGGAGTCTGAGGCTAGCCTGGGCTATGTGAGACTAGTCTCAAAACCAAACCGAAACAAAATGTCCTCTGTGGGAACTAAGTGTGTTTGTGCTGTGTTTGCTCCCGTTTTTAAAGCAAACTCCTTTAGACTATTGTAGTAACACTTAGAGAAGGACGCAAGGAAGAAAAGATTCGATGGGAAAGACAGGAAGTAACACTCACTCCCACCAAGTTCAACACGGAAGGGTCACTAGATTTTCAAAACTTAATAATCAATATTATTTAAAATATGCAAGTCGACGATTTGATATCCACATATGCGTTGTGAGATGCTTGCGTTTTAATTAGCACACCCACCACCTCCCGCCTGAAGCTGTTTTCATTGTGAGAATGTGTCAAATCTACTCTTTACCATTTTCAGGTATCTAATGTAGTTTTGTTAATGAGAGTCACGCACTAAACATTAATTAGATCCTTGGAATCTATTCATATTTTTGCTTTTGTTGTTACTCATGTTTAAAATTTTAAAGTATTATTTTACTAGCCTATGTGCATGAGTAATTTGCCTGCATGCATGTCTGTGCACCATGGGCGTGTCTAGTGCCTACAGAGGCCAGCAGAGGGCACTGATCCCCTGGGATGGGGGTTATAGACAGTCATGAGCCATTATGTGGGTACTGGGAATTGAACTAGGGTCCTCTGGAAGAGCAGCCAGTGTTCTTAACTACTGAGTCATCTCTCTAGCCCTTGTTGTTGTTGTTTAAGGCAGGGTCTCGCTATGAAGCTGAGCCTCCTTCAATGCTCTCCCTGAGAACTGGTGTTATAGATAGATGTAACATTACCTTACTAAACTTACAAATATCACTGGAAGTTTGAAAAAGATGTTTAATTACAGTGTTATCAAAATAATGTTGATTCTACTACACGGTCCCGATTATGTAAGACAGCTTCCTCATTTGTTGCTGTTAAATGGAGTGCACTGATCATCTTTTGTTATAGTTGCTATTGGCAGAAGCATACTCTTTTTAATTTTAAGAGGCACTTTATTTTATATTTATTTATTTATTTTCAAGACAGGGCTTCTCTGTGTTTCCCTGGCTGTCTTGGAACTCACTCTGTAGACCAGGCTGGCCTTGAACTCACAGAGATCCTCCTGCCTCTGCATCCCAAGTGCTGGGATTAAAGGTGTGAGCCACCCCAGAAGCATAATCTTATGTTTATGTGAACTTATGACATGCCCTGTCTTCTTGACTAATAAGAGAAACCAAGAAACCTGGACTTGATAGAGAAGAGAACTGAAAATAAATTTTGGAGTGGGGGTAGTGGGAGGAGGGGCACACACACACGCGCTCGCGCACACACACACACACAGAGGCCTATTTAACAATTTACTCAGAGTTAGCCTTTTAAAATACTGCTACTCCCTGGCTTGATTTCCCCACCTACCCCTGAACCAGCAAATAAGAGTAATATTGGTTAGTAAAGCTCTTGTCATTTTTGTCCTTAACTTTTTGTAAAAAGAAGTGTGTGTGTGCGTGTCTCTGTGTGTGTGTGTTTGCACCCTTGTTTATTTTATTTTATGTGCGTGGGTGTTTTGCCTGTATGTGTATCTGTGTAGCACATGCATACCTGATACCCAAGAGGCCAGAAGAGGGCATCTGATCCCTAGGAATTGAAGTGATAGATGGTTATGAGCCACCATGTGAGTGCTGGGAATCAAACCAAGGTCCTCTGGAAGAGCAGGCAGTGTTTGAACTGCCCAGCCGTCTCCAGCCCCTCTTTTCTTCTTATGTTTAATTAGAGGATGAGTAATGATAAGACTTGAGTGTTAGAGCAATGCATCAAGAGAATACGGGAAGGAGTGGAAGTTGGAATATTGTTCATGTGTTCAACAATCTGCTCCGTTGCCTGCTTTCATATGAATATGAAATGTCTTCCATAGGCCTAAGGGCTTTAGAACTGTTGGGAGATCACAAGAACCTTTAAGAGGCCTGGCTTGTAGATGTAAGTCACTCGGGAGTCATCCCTGGAAGATTCTAGCCCTGGCTGTATCCTGGCAAGCTCTCCACTCTCCAGCTGCAGTCTCTGTGCCGCCAGCCACCCTTTGTTCCCACTTGCTGCTTGGTTCTGTGTCCTCCCTCGCCGAGATGGACTGTAGTCCTTCAAACCATAAGCGAACAGAACCGTCTCCTTCCTTGTTGCTTATGGTTATGTGCTCTGTCACAGAGCTGAGAAGAGAAAGTAATCCGACTGTATTTCACAGGAAGGCATTTGGGGGCAGTGGTCAGCTGTCCCATGCTGGGCGGAGACTGGCCCACTTCACACACGCAGCTGAATTAACTGTCTGCCAGTTCTAGTGCACATGTGCCCTTACACGGCGTGGACATCCCTTCTTCTGGATGTTGAAGCCTTCCCGCTCCCACCTCCTCCTTCACCCCCCCCCCTTTTCCTTCCTCTGCCCTCTCTCTAACTTGTTACTTTGTATTTCCTTTCACCCAATGTCAGAGCAGGGTGGGTCTGGTGAAAGCAGACCCTGGCTTTCTGCTCGGATTTCTTCTTCTCTGATAGCTTCCCTCAAGCCACCTCTGTTTTATGGCGACCTCCTCCCCACTGACCTCCCACTGCTCCGTTTTCCAGCGTTCTGGGGAGTGGTAGAGAAACAGTCTAGGCATTAGGATGATCATCCTCCCTAATGTAGCCAAACCTAATTTTAGTCATGTCGACCCTGGAGTGCAGCATTGCCACCCAGTATGGCCTTTCCCTGAACCTTCTGTGGTTATGGACCCTCTTGGTTTGATTAAGAATTCAATTAAAAACATGTAATTTTCCTCCTAGAAAGCTTTAGATACAAATTCCCAAGAGGCTAAGAGGGGAACAGAAAAGTATCTATCCTGCTTAGTGGTGTGGAAGGCTTTAGTCTGTTCAGAGAATTAAGGTGTAGTTGCCACCGTGAACCCGGTGGTGAATACAGGGGAAGAGACGAGGACGCGAGGAGAGGGGGCTTTCCAGTATTGCACTCTGCCGTGAAGAAGATGGAACAGGAGATGGAGAGACTGGAATGGTGAGGGAGGATGTGCCTCATTCTATGAGAGCGTGCACGCTGATGGGAAGGGCCAAGCCGAGAGGAAGAAAGTGGCCATACCCTAGAGGAAAATCAATACAGAATAATGTAAGTTTTCTGGGAAGGCACTAAATAGGTTTTTGTGGGTAACCACCGTAAGTGACATTGTTTCTGTCTCGGGTGGGGGTGAGTCAGGTTCCACAGATGTGATTGACAAGCCATCTTCTCTGTCGTGGCTCTTCGGTGCTTAAGACCCCAAGGGGTGTCAGTCCTGCCAATCATTTCACAAAGCGACAGGGAAGGAGAAGGTGCCACGGATGTCATGGGCTGCGTTCATTTCTTGACTCAGCTGCTTCAGTGTGAGACAACTCTGCTTCGCCCGTCCAGGCCTCACCTGTCCACGTTAGCCGTAAGCACAGCTGAGGCTGTGTTCTTGGTACTGGAGTTTGGGTTAGTCTACCAATAGGAACATCACTGGTGTTTACTGCCCAGGCCAGTGGCGCTAATGGTACTGTAGTTCACAGGGCAGGTGTCTCAATAAAGAACCATCTGGCTCAAACCGTGAGACACCATGGGCTTCCTTTTTAGTTTGGCCCAGGTTTTTTTTTTAATTTAATTTATTTTTATTTTATGTTCATTGGTGTTTTGCCTGTATGTATGCCTGTATGAGGGTGTCAGAAGCCCTGGAACTGTAGTTACAGACAGATGTGAGCCGCCACGTGGGTGCTGGGAACTGAACCCAGGTCCTCCGGAAGAGCAGCCAGTGTTCTTAACCACTGAGCCATCTCTCCAGCTTCTATCCCCAGTTTTAAAAGGCACTTTGCTTAGTTGTTTCAGCACATTGATGCAGCTTTTAAGACATTATATTCTTAAAAACACCAAGGGCAAGACTTGCTTTTCTTTTCTTTCTTTTTTTTTTTTTTTTTTTGGTTTTTCGAGACAGGGTTTCTCTTGTGGCTTTGGAGTCTGTCCTGGAACTAGCTCTATAGACCAGGCTGGTCTCGAACTCACAGAGATCCGCCTGCCTCTGCCTCCCGAGTGCTGGGATTAAAGGCGTGCGCCTACATCGCCTGGCTAAGACTTGCTTTTCTTAAACAAAGCCAAGCTCTGCCTGATGATCAGCTGTTCGGCTTTTTTGGTCAAGGTCTACCGACCTGGTGTATGAACCGCAATTGATACGTTCAAGTTTGACTGATCTCCACTCTTCCTTCTTTTATTTCAGGTACTGCTGGGATTTTCAGCCCCAAGGTGAGTACTCCTTGTCCATACATCGTTTTATATTAAGAATGTGTAGGTGATCTCGTTGTGTCTTCTCAATCTCTCCACAGAACAGCACTGGCCGTCTCTGAGCAAAGCCAGTGGCGTGTTTAATTAACCCTCAAACCACTGGGCCTCCGCCGAGCTGCTGTTTTAGCAACAAGAGGCACCATGCCTTGAATGGCTGCTGAATTATTATACTGAACCAGAGCAACAATATGCCTTTATTCCTTGACTCTCGTTAGATGGCAACAGGATCCTGCAGCCTTCAAATAGAGTGGTGGCCAAGACCATAATAAAATCCTTGGGTGGGGTCCAATTCGGCTAATCCTTCATTTGCCCCAGAAATAAATTCTAGAGTGCACTATCCTCCATCGCAGTGTCCTTCCACACAGACTGTCTGGCAGCAGAGAAATGTCAGAAGTGGAGCCATACTGGAATTCCCACCAGGACAGTGCTCTCGCATTTTAATATGAGCCTCGTTGCAGCCTTGGCGCTTCTAATTGCTTTCCGACCATTGTTTCCCTGCCTTTTCTTGACGAACCCAGCATCTGGCATGATTCTACAAAGCCCGCCAGACAGCTGTGTGCAAAATTAAAAATAAAGGATGAGATTAGAACACATTTGTAAAATGTTCAAAGTTGGGATGTTTTCGAAACTTCCGGTACTCGGAGCGGGTGCGTGTAGCGCCAGCCACTATCGGAGCAGGTGCGTGCAGCGCCAGCAGCCGCCGTCACTCTTCTTTGTGTTCCGGCTGAGGATGCAGCGGCAGCATCCTGAGTGTTCCTTATCTCAACTTAGGAGACATGGAGGTTTTCGCTTTCTCGGAGAATTGCAGAATTTTTCATCACACTTATGGAGTGAATTATGAATTGTTTGGCACCATGACCTTTTAAAAACTAATCCATTTCCAGTACCACTTACTGTCTTACTCAAACTATGTGCTCTATCTCACTGAGTTTATGCTTCCAGGAACGTAGTGTCGAGTGATGTACTAGGGTGTGTGTGTGTGTGTGTGTGTGTGTGTGTGTGTGTGTGTGTGTACAAGGCCAGAGGTTGACTCTGAGTGTTGTTTTATATACTGAGGCAGGGTCTCTTGCTGAACCTGAAGTTTTGAAGCAGTGCAGGGGATCTGAACTCTGGTCCTCATATCTGAACTTATCTGAGCTGACTCTTTAGCCCAGATGCTATTACTTTTACTAAAATTTTAGTTTCCTACTTCATATTTTATTATAACATAGTTTTGGTATACATAAGACTTTCTTTAAAAGCAAACTTTATTTTTTTTTAATCTTTATTTTTTGTTCTTTTGGGACAGGGTCTCTCTTTGTGGCCCTGACTGTTCTGAAACTCACAACATAGGCCGTATCCAGAAGAAGACAGATTTAATAAATATAAAAATCATGTTTTAATATAAAATATGCTTTAAAGGCCTTTTTTAAAAAATTCCTATACATTAAGGTCAGTCTTCTGTGTAGTCATGTGACCTGGCGGGCGTGACTGCACCGAGAACCAAGATGGAGCCATAGAGAACAACACACAGTAACGTAGCTGCCAGCTTTGTAAAGGGTGAGCTACACACTCACAGCGTACCCTACAGGTCAGGGCTTAACAGATGTTAACCAAAAACCACAAGGGGCAGGGCATGGTGGCCAAATGTCAGAAACGAGCAGAACTTGGGAGCAGAACTAATTTCCTAAGGAGAAGTGAAGAACGAGTGTCAGAAACACAGTCTAGAAATACGCTGAGAAAATTGTTTTGGAGCGCAGCATAGGAGAGGCTCGGGCACTGAACACAGGGCATGGCTTTCAGATTCTTAGAATGGTGGTACTTCCGTCACATCCAACACACAAGGACAATGATGGGAAAAATATGTAGCAAAACTATTGCTCATTAGGAAGTACACAGAGGAACGTCCAATCCGAGAGCCCAGAGTCCTGCTTCTTCTGCCACAGACGTGGCGTGAGGGAGGGGCAGCTCTACTTATCGGTGGATTAGTCCTTAACTTCCTGTGTTTCAGAAGCTGGTGTGATGGCTGGGAACAACTGGTCTACCCGAGGTGCTATCTGGATAACATGAAGAGAACAGGGGTATACAAGAAACTGGCAGAAGCTTTGCTTGGTTTTTTTTTTTGTTTTGTTTTGTTTTTTTTTTTGAGACAGGGTCTCACTATGTAGACCAGGCTGGCCTCCAACTTTACTGAGATATCATTCACATATGATAAAATGTATCCTTTTAAAGTGTGCAGGTCAGCGGTTTTAGTATACTCACTGAATTGTGTAGTCATTGATACCTATTTCAGAACACGCCATCACTCTCTAAGGAGATCCCGTATCTATCCCAGAGCCCATCATCTTCATCACTGTGTACTGCTGTCTCGTGGCAAGATTGCTGGAGATCAGTGAGTGGAAGCACACTGGACTAGTAAACAAAAGGAAATGCAGTGTTTATAACAATAATGCTAATTCTCCCCACACTTTCACCCTCACACTGTTGGGTAGCTGTCACCTTCTTCAATGACACATCTGCGTGGGACAAAACTTCTCCTGGGGAGACACTACACACACACACCTGTCTACTCATCCCAGATAGGGAGCCCATGACAGACCAAAATATGGATACCACCAAAGTCCAACTTGGTGAAAATGAGATTTATTGGGTTACTTACAGGCACAGAAATCACTCAAACTCAATTGTATCTCCAAAGCCCACCCAAGCATGGATGACAGCTCACAAAAGCTGGGCTCCTGGAGCACCCTGCACAGCCTGCAGGCAGCTCAAGAGGCTGGAAGAGTGCCCTTTCCAGGTGCCTCAGTTGGTCTGAATCTCTTCCAGACAGCTTGACAAGACATCCTGGCTTGTCTGAGAGTCTTATTTTCAGCTTGGCTTGTTTTCTCAGACAGGGACGGAGGGGCCTAGTGAAATTGGTTAGTTTCAGGGACTTCCTGAAGCAGTTTTGAGTTGCTTAAGGAGCTTCCCTGCAGGATGCAGTGTTTCAACCTGGGAGAAAACTGTTTTACTCAACATCATCTCAGAGAAAAGAATCCTAAGAATTATTAGAGGAAACATAATGGAAAAGTTCCTCTTTTTATTGTTTGATTTTTGTTTGTTTGTTTCTTGAGATAGGGTATCTCTGTGTAATAGTACTGGCTATCCTAGAACTTGGATAAAGACCAGACTGGCTTCAAACTCAGAGCTCCATCTGCCTCTGCCTCCTGAATGCTGGGATTAAAGGTGTGCACCACCAGTCCTGGCCAGTTCCTTTTTTTGTACTTAACAACAACAACAACAAAAATCTATCCATCTATCTAATTTATGTATGGTGTGTGTGTGTGTGTGTGTGTGTGTACGTGCATGTGCGCACACATGTGCCGCACTGGAGGTCAGACGACGACCTTCAGGAAGTAGTTCTCTCCTTCTACCATGTGGGTTCAGTGGATTCAACTCAGGTCACTGGGCTTGATGCAAGCTCTCTTACCAGCTGCAAACATTCTCCTAGTGAGGTTAAATATAACTGAGCAACATAAGAAGGCTTAGCTTTAGGACTTGGGATAACCTCAATAATACGAGTCTTGCTTACTTTGAAAACTGCTCTTGTCTTCTTCCTCCTCCTGTCCTCCTCCTCCTTTTCCTTCTTGTTTTTTTCATCATCATCATCATCATCATCATCATCATTATTATTGTATCCATGGTGTTGCAGGCTGAATCCAGAGCCTGGCACATGAACTACATATCCAGCAAAAATAAACGAACAGATAACAGCAGCAACAACAACTCTTTTATTTAGATTTTCATTTAGTTACAAAGGAAAGCTGTGAGGTATATGCTGGGGAGCTGTTTGTGTTGCGGCCATCAGAATCTGAAAGATGACATTGATTGGCTGTCCAAGTAGCAATCTGTTTTGCCCTTGGAATTTGATGGCAAGATCACTTTAAGTCGTGGCACAAGGCAATTTCCTTCATTTTGTTTCACGTTCTCCTTTTATAAAATGGGTTCATTATTGACAGTTTTAGTTCAATAAATCAAAACTTATACACAAAAATATTTTTTGAACGTTAGCTGAATTTCCCACCAGGGACTCATAGTCTAAAACAAGTGTCACATTATTTAAATGAAAAATTTAGGCAACCTTGTGTGACTATTATAAATATGTATAACAAGTCATATTTTATGTATTTGCTATTTGTTTCTTTTCTTTTGTTCTAAGTCCAGGGTGGCCTTGAACTCACCATGTAGTTGAATACTCTTGAATTCATGATCCTCCTGCCTCCACTTCCCAAATCCTGGGATTATAGGTGTATGCCACCATGCCTGGCTAACAAGGTCATAATTTTATTCAGTGGTCACTCACTTATATTTGGCTGTTGGTAAAGTGGACTATGAAACCTCTTACCACCTTGAACATTCTTTGACTCGCCATATTGACACTGCAGTCCCTGAGAAAATTGTCTAGTATATTTTATTTAAAAGGTTTATTTATGTGTGTGCATGCGTCTGCATGTGTGCATGTGTGTGTGTGTGTGTGTGTGTGTGTGTGTGCTTACATACACAAGTGTGAGTGCCCATGGAGGCCACAGTGGGTACTCCATAGCTGGAGTTATAGGTGGTTGTGAGCCACCCAAGTTGATGGCTGTGAATTGAACTCAGGTCCCCTGAAAGAAGCAGCGAGCACCCTTAACCACACTGAGCATCACTCCAGCCTCTCTAGTACATTATAATATGAACCTAGGTCTACTTAATAAATTTCTTTAAAAAAAAACCTATTTTGAAATGAGATGCCTATATTCAAGTCAAAGTAAATTGATTTTAAAAATATAGGTTGACAAAAACAAATACTGCAAAGTGTAAAGAGAAAAATGTTTTCATAAAGCCATATTGAGAAAGTCCAGCATGGGAGCTCATAGCTGGAATCCCAGCACTCAGGCGGCAGAAGCACTCCTCACATATAAGGCCCACTTGGTCTATCTAAGGAACGCAAAGTCTTGCATTCA